ATGGTCATGTCCAATGTATGATGAAGATAATGTTTAAATAAACAATGACTAAACACAAGATATGAAAATAGAGAAATACAATGTTGATTAGTATACATAAAAAGTAATCACTAACACTTGGTGTGTTGCTTGATATAAAAAGTTAACAACTGCTAGCTATAATTTTTTTTTTTAAATCTATTTACCATCAGGTTTTAAGTGACTACCCAGTTTTTATTTGAATCAACCAAGAAAAACTTTTTTTTCTCCTTACCACCCATCAGAAAAGTGTTATTTAATTATTCCCCAACCAAACAATAAAAAAAATGAGATTACAAACAAGATAAAATGTTACCCATTTGACTCATAAAACTCAGTATATACAAACACAAAATCCACTCGTTTGGAACACAATTATGACCAGAAATTTAAACATACATATTCATGGCAATTTAATAAAAGTAAACTAAAAAAAATATCCAGCTGGATTCCAAAAATCAGACGTCTGAAAACTGCAGAATTTGTTACTGATTATCTACTGCTGAAGTTTCAAACTTGAACAAACAAACAAAAAAAGTTATTTGCTCATTTGTGTGTGCATTAGTTACATACAATTAAACTTATGGTATTTTCTGAATATAATGTGTCCCAAACCACATTTTGTTTACAGAAGAAAAAAAAATAAAGAACAAAGCTGCACTAGAAACATAAAAAAAGTAACGGTCCCTTTTTCGCACCTTTAGGCCTATAGGGCTAGACCTATATTTTTTATAGACGAAATCGGCACAAGATGGGTGATGTGGTCAGCATTACGCTGGCTGCCTTTGCTTCCCTGGACTGCACCTGGTACCCACTCAAGGCTGGGTTGACCTGGGAGTCAAGGTCATTTTTTAAGAAAGTCCGGCTCCGCCAGGGAGCAAACCCACGACCTTCAGATCCGCAAGCGAGCGTCTAGCGGCTACACCACAGCGACTCCCAATTGCAATAGTAGTAGGTGATTACTTGTCAATTGATAAACCATCAGAAGCACTAGGTGACTAATTGTAAACTGAAAAATCATTACTAGTAGGTGATTAGGTGTAATTTAACAAATTACTAGTAACAAGTGACTACCTGTGAATTAACAAATCAGCACCCCTTTTAGGAAACTAATTGTGAATTAACAAAGCCCTGCAAGTATTTGACTACGTGTGAGTGAACAAGTTATTCTCCAGTAATAGGTGACTGGGAGTTGCTGTGGCGAAGCGGCTAGACGCTCGCCTGAGGATTGGAAAGTCATGGCTTCACTCCCTGGCGGAGCCGGACTTAAAAAAAAATAATCTTGACTCCCAGGTCGACCCAGCCTCGAGTGGGTACCGGGTGCAGTCCCGGGAAGTAAAGGCAGCTGGCGTAATGCTGACCACATCACCCATCTTGTGCCGATTGGTGTATAAAAATATAGGTCTAGCCCCATATGCCCTATACGCCTAAAGGCATGGAAAAGGGTCCTTTCATTTATTTTGTTTTTTAATAGGTGACTACATGTGAATTAAATAATCACTAGTATTGGATTCTCACCAGAATTAGATGGCTACTTGTAAATTAACAAACCAAAACCAGTATTAGATGGCAACATGTGAATAACACATTATTACTAGAGCTAGCTGTGTTATTTGTCCTAGGTGACTACTTGTAAATTAACAAACCAAAACCAGTATTAGATGGCAACATGTGAATAACAAACACATTATACTAAGCTAGCTGTGTTATTTGTCCTAGGTGACTACTTGTAAATTAACAAACCAAAACCAGTATTAGATGGCAACATGTGAATAACAACACATTATTACTAGAGCTAGCTGTGTTATTTGTCCTAGGTGACTACTTGTAAATTAACAAACCAAAACCAGTATTAGATGGCAACATGTGAATAACAACACGTTATTACTAGAGCTAGCTGTGTTATTTGTCCTAGGTGACTACTTGTAAATTAACAAATCATCACTAGTGTTAGATGACAACATTTCCTGTGTGGGTTCTGGGGCCTTATTGTGGAGACAAGAAAAACAAACCCAATGCTTCCCAACAAGCATGACACAGGAGTCGACTAATGGGAGGCTTCCTTCAAAGTCGGAGTGCATCTGCATGAGCGGTAAGCAACAACCAACTGCACACAAATAAATCTCAGGACCCTGGCACAAAACCAAAATCCAGATAGACAAACAACCAGGACCTTCTGCCGGAGCTCACAGCTCGCAAACAAATTAAGAAGATTACACGTGAATCACCACATCATTACTAGTGCTAGCTGACTACTTGTTTTATTTGTCCTGGTGATTACTTGTGCATTAAAAAAAAACAAAAGCATGTGTAAGAAACAGATGAGAATAATAAACATTTCCCAAGAAATCAATATTTAAAGAACAAAACCACACTACCTAATGGTTGTAATTCAATTAAACACAGGACAAATACATTTCAAGCAAAGTGTAATCCACAAAAATATTATCAGCAATCAGCAAAAGTATAAAAATATACATAGCAAATTGTGAAATTTCATATTCAGTCTATTTACATTTCAACAAATGATGTATTATAAATACGAAATGTATAAATGTGATCAGTTACAATTAAACGTGATCAGTTACAATATAAATATCAGCCACAGGATTATCATCATGATAAAGTGCATACAAAAAAGCAAATAGGAGACAAAGGTCATAAAAGTGACAGAACAACTTGATTATTTGGAGAGAAAGCAAAAAAGAAAAGGGTTTTTTAGTCAAAAAATATATATATATATATATATATATATATATATATATATATATATATATATATATATATATGATATATATATATATATATATATATATATATATATATATATATATATATATATATGTACACATCTATACAAATGTTTCTTGTTAAGATTGTAACCACTTTAATTTACAAAACACATGTCTGAGAAATAAATAGCAAATAGCATTAGTAATTACACAAGTTACAACACTAATGCAGTAACTTTTTTTCAAGGCAATTTTTTTATGTGTAAAAATTTTTATTTTATTTTGCTTTGTAGGTAGCTAACGGCCATGTCAGACTGCTAAACACTACTGAATTTTCTTCCCAAAAAATTGACACAGATGAAACTGGCAACGTAAAAATGACTACAAAATGTGATTTATATCCTGGGAAATATTACAGAATATATAAGACATTTATTTGGAAGAAATGTGCTCGAAAAAAGAAAAATATTACACAAATTATTATAAAAGGGATTAAACATAAAAAACTCGGATCACACATATTATTAAAGACATGACTTATTTCCCAAGAAATGCTAACAAACAATTGTTACATTCCTTTCTGTGAGGGAAATTATTAGAAAAAGAAAAAAAGACACATATAAAAAGGTAATACAGAAACTGATATAAAAGTGATGTATCTGTGAATTGCTACTGATATGGAAAAGAGATTCACCCCCTTTTCCCGCCAAAAACCCAACCCCACAGGAATTGTATGCTGTACACATATCCAAGCAACTATTTTCATTTAATTTGCAGTTTCATAAAAGGTGTAGATTGATGTGGTTGTGTACAACACTGTCAGAACTTAGTAAATCTAGTCAAGGAGTTAACTGCTTGGTTTACCACTAACACACACAAATTCAAGCTAATTAAGAGCAATTATGATAATTTTTAAAATACAGTATAGGTAACTATAATAAAATGTATCAGAATTCATCTAAAAAAAAAATGTTAATGTAGCAACTGGATGCCAAAATGGTGACTACTTCTCTCTAATGATCTAACATACTATATTTTATTACAAGTGTAGCAGTAACTAGCTTGAAAACAATAATTAAATGTCACAGCAAACTTCTTGCAGCAAGATGTGATACTTTCTGTATGAGTAACTTGTGTAAGTAATGGTTACATACATAAACCATTTCATAAATAAATTGTATGCATGTATTCACTTATGAGTCACTTTAAATAACACCACATCATGTAGCAGGTCCTTTTGCAGAACGTCGCTCTCATCAGTCTGCCTGTAAGAAACTCTGTCTCTTGCCAGTTCTCCCGCCCCATGAACTTTCACACTCAAGGAGTCACTTAAATCCTGTGCCCATCTTCATGTCGGTCGGCCTCTGCCCCTCCTTCCTGGTACCATGCCTTCTGCTCTAATTTTTTCCAATCTGTCGTAGCGCTTGATATGACCAAAATATTTCAGCTTTCGAGAAAGGATGCTGTTTATTAGCCAATCTTCCTTAATGTTCAGATCTTTTAAGATGTCAATATTTCTCATCTTCTTTGTCCAAGATATTCTGAGAATCTTTCTATAGCATTTCAGCTCAAAAGCCCCTATTCTCTTTCTTAAGGACTGAGAGATAGTCCACGACTCACATCCGTATGTAGCCACAGGGAAGATGCATGCTCTCAAAATTCTAATTGTTATCTCCTTGCTGGTGCTTAACCATAGACTTTTAAGGCTGTTCAATCGCTTTCTAATTTACCTAGTGAAATGTTGACATGTGTTGTTTAAACTGAGACACAACGAGTATAGGGATTGGAATCTGGGGAGAACCATATGGGTATAGAACATAGAATGTGGCATGGTCACAGCAAGTGTTCTATGTTATGGAACTAAGAAATGAGATATGCTACACAAGTAGTAAGGAATTCATTTCTATGAACACCTACAAATAGTGATCCTTTTCAGTCAACCACCCATTACGCATAAGGAAAGTTCTAATGCACCTTCTGGGGATACAAATTCATAGAAAACCAACTTCACACACACTCGTGCACGCATGCACCCCCCACAAAAAAATATAGGAATTCTATTCCTGACATGGGCCAACTGTGCTGATTTTCAACTTCTGTAAAAAAATATTTTGTGCAAGACATAAGCAGAGCAATAACACAACAAAAATTAACAAAAAACATAGCTTGATTACACTCAGAAGCGTTGGTGTTTATTTTGCACTGATATACGGAGCACAACCTCCTGCTCAACTAGAATACCTAGTTATGTTACCTTTCTTCAGTAATTGTTTCTAATTCACTTGCAGGAGTTGGGTTTTCATCTGTCAAAGGTAGCAATTTAGAGTCATCTTTTCGGTCACCACCTCCATCATGCAAAGGTGCATCATCCAAAGAAGTTCCAAGATCCTCCTTCTTCTTAAGGGAACCATGAAAAGCAGGAGACTTACCATGCTGGTCTTCATCTTGGTGGGAATTCTCTTCATCACTACCTTCATCTTTGCTGTCAGTGTCTGAAATCCTCCTCAAAGCTCTCTCCAGATCATCAAACGAGTCATGCAAATCCTCATCGTAGGCAGCATTCCTCAGTAAAATTGCAATCACCATTGCCAGAAGACTGGCACATATGAAAATGATTCCTGTGGGGAAAAAATTGATATCATGTTAGACTAAACATAAATGTTGACAACAACCTGAAATCCCATGCTGTAATTGTGGAAGACTTTTTCTAACACGGACTGGTCTTGCATGTCACACTCGCGATCACCATGCCTCCTCATAGCGCAATATAACACTATAGTCTGGAAAGACGGAAAGGTGCCAATCAATGTTAGGTTACCCAGGCCAAAGAGTAGTATAAAGTTTCTGAATATGTCAGATCTGTGATCTGTTCAAAAATGTATTCTTGGGATAAAAATATGGTTTTCCTTTTATTTCCACATGAATAATGTGGAAGTCAATAATAATAACAATCTGATGGCTTCTCCATGACTTACACATGAATGTTGTTTGATCTCCACCTCTGATCAAATCAGGTGAGTGCCCTGGTATGCTGAGGTGCACATTTTCTTATTTGTCCTGTCAGACACCCAGTTTCCTGCATTATGTTTGAAACACTATTGTGTACTGCTCATCCTCTAGCATTAGGAAGTGCAGTTGGGAGCTTTCCTTTACTGAGCTGAGACCAAGATAGCCTTTGTGATACACTCCAGCTCTTAGAAAGGAGATATATAATGAATAGTACCAACACTAATCTTGGTAAACATTTAACGAATATCAAGTATTTCATTATATTCCCTTTTATTGCTGACCATTTTCTAATATAACTTCTTTTTCTTCATTCACCGGTTGCAAGCTCTGGAGAAAAGTCCTGGTTGTTCGTCCATTTGGACTTTGGCTTTGTGCCAGGGCCTGAGTTTTGGGTGTACATCCGTTTTCTGGCTATTTGTGTGCAGCTGGTGTTCTCTGCCACTTGGGCAGATGCACTCTGACTTCAAAGGAAACCCCCCCATTTAGTCAAATTCTACAACATGTTAGCTGAGGAGGCAGTGGGTCTATTCTTGTTTTCCCCACAGTGGGACCCTGGAACCCACATAGGACTGCTCTAATATTACTAAGCTACACATGAGCATTCCATTTCACCATCCTCACTCATTTTTTCCTTTTTTTTTCTATATCAGAAACTGTCACCAACTGCTTGTGCCCTCTCACTAATTAGAAAAGATTATCGGAACATGTACCATGTTGCACTTTGTATGATTTACTTTCTTATATAGCAACTTTGCTTTTCATTTTTTTATTATTTTTGTCCAGTATAATTTTACTTGTTTCAAAGACTTTTAATATTAACTTTGGATAACTTTTTTTTTCTCATTACACTGTTGATAAATTCAGGCAGAAAGTCGTGTTACTCATCCATGTCTGGACTCTGGTGTTTGAGTGTTGCAAGCAAATCCATTTCTACAAATCTGCCTTATTTGTATGCAGACTGTTGGTTTCTTGCCTCTCAGCACAGGAAACATCAACCCCTACATAATGATGGCCAGGTTCCCAGATGGGATCCTGTTTCTAGAATGATCAGGTAGAGGTATAGATAGGTCTTGATTAGTATGAGCCTTAGACCTGGTGCTCCACCACGTATGGCTCAACACCTCTACATCCCAACTGAACAACTAGGCCGGTCTTGATGTATAACTGCAGCATTCAAATGCATGCATGCAACATATCTTAGTGTGTATACATACAATGACACCATAAAAACGGAGTGAAAAAAGCCTTTTTTGAGGCTGAAATGACATCTGACGGAAGCTGTGACACGAATATAAAACTGAATCCTCATACTGAGATCAAACAACTTTTTAACAAGTATAGTCATCATCGACAAAAAAGTTTTAAAAAAAAAAATCTCATAACAAGTAAATAAACCCACTTGCTCAAAATGTGTGTGGTCTGTTCTTCTACATGGATGTGAATGCAGGGCAATGAGTGATCAAACCATGGGTAAGATTGGAATAGCGGAGATGTGGCTTTTGATACAGTATTAAGAGGAGGAACAGTTACACAGTTTAGCGGTCGATGTAAATTTAAAACAGAAAAAATTCTAGGCATAAACAGCTTCTTCTGCAGTCAGCTCCAAAATGATAGTTGGCATGCTATGCTGTTTTATATCCAAGCTGCGATGTTTGCGCCTCAGCAAATGTTTTTTATTAGCCGCTCTTAACAACATGCTTGTTAGGGGTAGTAAGCCTATCTCTCCCCCCCCCCCCCCCCTATGATCTCAAAACCCACATGGGGAGTATAACAGCAATTAATAATTTCTTAATGCATTAAATATTATTATACAAGATTTAATGCAATTAAAATGAACATGAACGCAGAAAATCTTGCTTACGTTTAATAAAATGAAAAAAAATTTATGAAATACTTACCAACAATGACAAAACTTCCTTCATAACCTATGGCCTGAATAGCGACACCTAAGATATTAAATGAAATTAATGTAAAAACTTGTGTACGTTAACAAAACACTGATTACAACAACAACAAAAATATTTTTTTTTAAACTAACACAAAAGAGCATACAATATCTTGTATTACATAATTACAATGAAAAGTATAATCCCAAAATTGTATTAATATTTAAAAAAAAACCAAGCCTGTCTTTTGGTTCGTCCATCACAAGTGATGAGGACCACTCTTTCTTTCATCCGTGATGAAACTGCAGTTGAATGTTTATGAGTCCAATACGTGCCTGGAAGAGTCTAGGACAATGAGGGCAAGGCACAGCATCTGTAGACAAAGGGCCTGTTTGACTGTGCTTTCTGGCATGTCTTTGCTGTTCAGCTGCCCTTGTTCTAGATGCCCCTCAGATCACTGCACCATTTCGGATATATGTGCGCCATAAAGTACGGCCTTGTGCTGCAGCCTCCCAGATGTCAGGGTTTACACTGAAGGCTTTTAATGATGCCATTAGTGTATCCTTCAAGTGATCCATTTTTCTGGCCCCCCATGAGATTGTCAACCTTCACGTATCTCACCACAGAATGTCTTTTGGTAAGTGCGGAATGGTAGCTCACAGTGGTTCCCACACAGCTACGTTTTTTAAAGATGATTTCAATCTCATGATTGAACAGTAAATCGGGTTTCATTTGCCAAAAATTTGTCTCTGTGTCATATGTGCATGCACTGTTTCTGGTTTACATCTTACCAATGAACACTGGTCACCGTCTGCTGTCGTATATCCCTCAATACTGGGACTGGAAGTTTGAGGGAAGGCCAAAAAGTAATGCCCCCCTCCCCCATTTTTTAAATCATGTAACTACTGTATTAGTGTGCAATTCGTCAGTTTAGAAGGACTCCTTAAATACTCTTCTGCACTGCCTAGCATTACCAACCTGTTCCAGTAACAGGTGCAAGTCACCACTGTAACAGTTTTAAAATGGATTCTAAAGATCTTTGGTTAGAACAACATAATGTCATAGAATTCCTCAATGATGAAGGTTAGACCCCAATTCACATTCACAAATATTTGAAGAATATTTATAGTGATTCAGCAGTAGAAGTATCACTGTCTGATGCGGGGTACATCATTGTGACGAAGCTGAAGTGTCAACACTCAATGGCTAAAGCAAAGCGAACTGGCCCTCTGTCTACCGTAGTTATTCTACACCACATTCACTGTTGATGACATTATTTGTGCCGACTATCAGGTACCACTGGATAAACACCACAGAGCACATTCTTCGAATGTTCGTGGATGTATATTGGCGTCTAGGCTTTAGCACTGAGGAATTCTATGACACACAATTTTAACTGAACAGAATATACAATGATCTAACACTTCACACCCCAATGAGAGTATCTGTTATGGCATTACCTTAAATTTTTGTGTTTTTGTAAACAAAAAAACACATCAACTCAGAACTGTAAGCAAATTCAGTCTTGTAAATTTTCCAAGATATTTATATAAAAAAAAAATTTTCTTTGTCTATGTTCACCCTTACAGAGTCGGTATGGTCACAGTGCTGTGGTTTACAGCTAGGCTGCATATCTGCACCTCTAAGCCCAAGACATCAGATTTCAGAAATAACCGAATTAATCACCATTTATGACCTGCTTGTGCAATGAGGGAAAAGGGTAGGGGGAAGGGGGAGGTTGTTGTTGCAGCAGCAATCCACACAGAGGTGTAAATTTTAAAAAAAACAGGGAGCCACAGTGGCATAGCAGCTAAATGCTCACCCCAGGCCTGAAGGTCATGGGTTTAAATAGGCACTGAGTTGATTTTTTTTTTAAATGACCTTGGCTTCCAGTATCAAGTAAAAGTATCTGGGAAGTAAAAGTATCTGCCAAAATGTTCCCCACATCACACACAGTAAGTGCCAATTGGTCTATGAAATACAGGTCTAACACTATATACCCAACAGGGAGCTGCTGTGATGTAGCAGCCAGACAGACGCCTGTGGATCTCAAGGTTGTTTGGTACGTGGCCCTGACGGAATCAGAGTTTTCTTCCATGTTGATTCAGCCTCAAAATGGATACCAGATACAGTCATGGGAAGTAAAGACGGCTGCTGTGATGCTGACAACGTCACATACTAAGCGCTGATTGGTCTATAAAATACTGGTCTAGTCCTATATGCCCAATGCCCTGGCAGGAGTGGAAAAAGGGTCCTTTACGATAAATCCAATATGCCTAAAGGTCGTGGAAAAGGGTCCTTTAGATTTGACTTTAAACACTAAAGACTAATACATGTTCGTCCATCACGAGTGATGAAGACCACTTTCATCCAAAGTAGTAATGATCAATGATTATGAGTACAAAGGTGGCTGATTAGTCCAATATGAGCCTGGAAAGTTCTTGAGCAGTACGGACACAGATAGAAGCCGCAGTAAGTGTGGCATTAGCAGTTTGATTCTTTCTAGTCTGCCTCCATTTCTCTGCCTGTGCAACCTCTGCTGCCTGGCAGGCCGATGCACCATGCCATCCAGAATGGTCTTGCGCAGCAGCCTCCCACGTCGCTGTGTTGATGCCAAAAGAATTGAGAGCTGTCTTGGGTGTCCTTATAGCACTTGTTCCGTCCTCCCTTGGACCTCTTTCCTTGCTGGAGTTCGCCATAAAATACTATCTCTGGGTGGTGATATTCTGGTATGCGGGTTAGGTGACCAGCCCAACACAGCTGATAATTTTTCAGTATATCTACTACTATCTACTTATACATACCTAGCAATGGAGGACCAGCGAGGTAACCGATTCCCTGAGCCATAGACAAGAATCCAAATCCTAGTCCCAATTCCCCAATGCCCAGCAACTCAATAGTAATCAATGAAGACAGAGGCACAAGCGATCCGGTGTACACCCCAAAGAGCCCAGCACATATTAACTGCTGTAAGTACGTATCTGTGAACAATGGACTCAACCCTGCAACCATGCTGGCAACTCCGAGACAACCTGCAATTATATGTAGGATCTGTTACAATTACAACATAAACTGACATAAAATAATGAACATAAAATGGGATGAATTCAAGAGGGGTAATGAAATAAAAGAAATGTCTGGGCAACAGCTGTAACAGGAGTTATGAGACAAATAAGGGAGCACTAAATTGGACACATCCTGAGAGTAAACGAGCAAAGAATCACCATCAGGCACTGTAATGAGTCACTTTCTCCTTTGTATCTCATTTTGGTGCTTGTAACGAAGTTGAGGCCCAGAAAGAGAGTGACTTCTCTTACCACTCAAACGTCCTAGTGTTGCAGGGTCCTATGTCCGGGGGGGGGGGTTGGGGGGGAGGGGGGGGGGTGTGTGTGTGTGTTACACTTAGTGACGGGCCAACAACAGCGACTTATTCTACTCAGCCGGCTATTCAGCGTCTTCTATATTCCAAGAGGAGAAGAGGTAGAGAAATGGGTGGTAGAAAACCTGCTGATACTAATCAATGAACACAAAGTACACCGGACCTAGCTATGGCTAAAAAAAAAACATCCAACGTAGGGCAGACAGACAAGTGATGAAACAGCTGGGAGGAAATGACCACAAACCAGTCATCGTCATGATAGGAGAGGTCAAGCTTCCAGAAAACAAGAAGATAGCCAGCTGGAACTAAAATAAAGCAGACTGAGACCTCTACAAAAACTAAACTGAAAAGAAGCTATCAGAGCCCTTTCCCACTAATGAGGTTAGAGAAAACACCACAACTTTTATCAGTATCATACTCAAAGCAGCACAAAAATTGATCCCCTGAGGTCGAAGGCAAAACTAAACCCTTCTGGACCCAAGAACTGCACCAAAGAAGCACTGAAGCAAGAAAAAAAATGGAACAAGATCCCTCTGACCTGAACGTAACAGAACACAATAAACATCAGGTTATTTATAGAAGAGAAAAACTCACTTGCATCCGGACAAGATGGCAGGAAAAAACTGCAGCTCTCAACATGGAGAAAGATGGAAAAAAGCTATGGCATCTAGTAAAGAGTCTCAATGAGGAGAATAATACCAGCCGTGCCCACACTGTAATTGAAGATGGTGGGAAAACTTTCATTGGTAAACAAGCAACAAACCTGCTGGCTGATAGTTTTGCAGAGGAAAGCAAAATCTTCATGTCTAAAGCAAGAGAAGAAGAAGTGATTAGAGAACTGAGGAAAATCAATAAAAAGCAAAAAGATAGCCAAGATATAATGAATAAACTCTTCAGTCCCCTAGAACTTGGATACGCATTAAGAAACCTTAAGAAAAAGAAGGCACCCGGACCAGCTCCGACCTGAACGTAACAGAACACAATAAACATCAGGTTATTTATAGAAGAGAAAAACTCACTTGCATCCGGACAAGATGGCAGGAAAAAACTGCAGCTCTCAACATGGAGAAAGATGGAAAAAAGCTATGGCATCTAGTAAAGAGTCTCAATGAGGAGAATAATACCAGCCGTGCCCACACTGTAATTGAAGATGGTGGGAAAACTTTCATTGGTAAACAAGCAACAAACCTGCTGGCTGATAGTTTTGCAGAGGAAAGCAAAATCTTCATGTCTAGAGCAAGAGAAGAAGAAGTGATTAGAGAACTGAGGAAAATCAATAAAAAGCAAAAAGATAGCCAAGATATAATGAATAAACTCTTCAGTCCCCTAGAACTTGGATACGCATTAAGAAACCTTAAGAAAAGGAAGGCACCCGGACCAGATCGAATAACAAATGAAATGATAGTACACCTGGGACTAGCTGGTAGGTAACGACTCTTAGACCTTATAAATCAATACTGAGCCCAGGGACTACTTCATAAGGAATGGAAGGAGGCAGAAATAGTTCCCATAGCCAAAAAAGGAAAGCCCAAGGAAAACAAATTCACTTACCGCCCCATAAGCTGCCTAGGAAAACCATAGAAAGATTAGTGAACAACAGGTTACTTTATTTCCTGGAAGAAAACAAGATATTGGATGACAGCCAATCAGGCTTCAGGAGATACAGAAACACTGATGACTAAACCTCTTATCTCACATAGGAAATTGAAGATGCTTTCCAGAAAAAATACAAACTGCGAGCTACTTTCTTCGACCTGACCAAAACCTTGATAAGGTCCGGAAGAAAGGACTTGCTAAAACTAGCACACTGTGGGATAAAAGGCCAAATGTTTGGCTGGATTAGAGACTTCCTTTACAGACCCTGTGCGAGAGTCAGACTGGAAGATCACAAGAGCAAGCTGGTCAGGTTACAAGAAGGTGTTCCCCAGGGAGGTGTTATATCTCCTACCCTGTTTATTCTTTTTATCAATGACCTCCCAAAACAGTTCACGACTCACATTCAAAAGGCGTTACATGCAGATGACCTGGCCATATGGACTCAAGGTGAACATTTAGGAACAACTAAAAGAAGAATGCAGTAAGCTATAAATACAGTTAATAAACGGACAGACTCTTGGGGAGTCACAATAAACCAGACCAAAACCGTCTTAACTTTTTTATCTTTTCACAAAGCCAGAACAAGTTGATCTGTACCTAGAAGGCAACATCCTTCCCAAAGAGGATAACCCCACATATTTGGCAGTAAAATTTGACAAAAGGGTAACCTGGGGCCCCCACATTGAAGACACCTAAAGGAAAGCTACCCTGAGGCTCAGACTTATAAAGAAACTTACTGGAACAAGCTGGATGAACAACCAGAGCTTTCCGCCACAGTTTACAGCTGGTGAATGCGAAGAAGAAGAAGAAGAGGTTTACTTACCAATGTGAAGAAGAATAGGTCCTATGTCAGTGTCACTAGCAACAAGCCCTGACAAGAACCTGCCACACATTGAACCAAACCCCATTCCAGTGTACAGGGAGGAGGCTTGCATTGGAGATGATCCTTTTCTAGTAATTAAAGAGAATACACAAGCAAAGTTACTGGTAGCTTCTACTGGTCATCTTTAGAAACAACACAAGTGAAAATTATAACCTTCAAATGTAATGTATAATCACTCTATAATGCGACATGTAAACCTGGAAAAACATACTAGCAGCCAAAAAGATGACCTAAGACTCTGGAAATAAAAGCAATCAAATATAGATGCTTTACTTATTCTAAAATTTTTTTTATAAATCCATCTGCTAATTACTTCTTCTTCCTCTTCTTCGCATTCACCGGCTGCAAACTCCGGCGAAAAGTTCTAATTGTTCGTCCACTTCTGGACTGCAGTCCTGTTCCAGAACCTGAGTGTTGTGTGTGCATCCGTTTGACAGATCTGACTAATTTGTATGCAGAATATTGGTTCCTTGCCTCTCAGGCAGAAGCACTCCGACTTCGAAGGAAGTTCCCAGTTAGTCGACTCTTACAACATGCTTTTGGGTAGGCAGTGAGTCTATTCTTGTTTTCCCTATAATATGGCCCCGGAACCCACACGAAAATGCCAATTACTGCCTTTGTTATACCACAGTTCAGTGGTGAATTCAGGGGGTCTCTGAGCCTGAGGATTTACAGCCGCATGGCTAGTGCTGTCGTCACGACTGTGCAGGTGAGGAGTTTTATTTTGCCATTGTTGCCAACTACAGTAATAATGTAATATATATGATGATATATCAAATTCATAATGAAAAGAAGCTGCTTAAAGAAAAAAAAGAAACAGACACAAGTAAAATATTTTGGCTGTATTTAAAGACACAGCACTTATAAAAACCCTACTCTTAACTTCGGTCAATATGGAGGATTGGCAGGTTTTTGTAGCTGGGTTTTGCATTTTCCTCAATACGTAGAATGTAAGGATAGGCTCGCTCAGCTACAGAGTTTAGTCCATGGTGCAACAATGTGAGCTGCAGATTTCATTTGGAATGCTTTTTGACTGCCCAACACCGTTTGTGTTGTGAGCTGCAAGTGTAAATTCTAAAAATGTGGCCTGTAGCCACAGAACTGGTGGTGTCTTATGTGATTAATCACATGTGCAACTACTCACTTGTTATAACAGCTGCTTCTACTGTCAATAAACTTCATTTCTAGTACTGTTTGTGGTGGCACTTCTGATAGCTGTGTCTTATGCTAATGAGTTTGCAGAGACTGCAGTCTATGCAAATTTCTCCACTAGGGACAGTGACTGACATTATGTGTGGTTTTTTTTGGGTACAGGAATGGAGCAACTATGGAGTGACCTGTCTGCTATGAAGCTGGAACTGTGATTGCCTGATTATCTGAAAAACTATACTACAGGGAAAAGAGGAAGGCCAGTGAGCTAGAGATGGACAGCAAATCATTCGGGAGTATAATATCAAGAATTGGGAGATCAGCAGTTTCAGAGAATGTACAACTGGTGTGATTGAGAGTGTTAGAGATCCATTGGAACCAACCTTCAGTGAGAACAGAAACTGATATTTATCTTTTTTCTCTTCTTCGCATCACCAGCTATGAACTCTGATGGAAAGTTCTGGTTGTTCTGTTCCAGAACCAGAGTGTTGCATGTACACCCATTTTACAGATCTGACACATTTGTGTGCAGACTGTTGATTTCTTGGGTAATGATTGTAAAGCAAATATTAATGTCAGTAGTATAAAACAAACAATGATAAAAAAAATGAAACAGATATGTGAGTTGGAATCCTGTGATAAAACAACCACAAACACAGTTACACATACTGCAGGTCAGGTAAACGGAAGTAACAGACTGTGCAGATAAAATATCCCCTTTATGCATACATGTGAAGGAAATGATCAAGAGTATTTAATAACTACTAATAGAAGTAACATGTAGGGTATCTGGGATATGCCCTGTTGGACTGGCTTCCAGGATGCAACTCTTTGAATATTAGCCTCAGATACCAGCCCAAACAGCAGTCAGTCAGTCAGTCTATTCCTCACCGTGTGAGTTCTAGGGCCCCATTGTGGGAAAAACAAGAACAGACCCACTGCCTCCCTAACAAGCACAAGCATTTCATAGGAGTTGGCTAACTGGGGGCATCCTTAGAAGTTGGAGTACATCTGCCTGGAAGGCAAGGAAGCAAAAGTCTGCACACTAATAAGCCAGATCTGTGAAACAGCGGGGCCAGCTTCCAGCTTCTGGAACAAGTCTAAAGTCTTGAAGTGGAAAAACACCCAGAACTTTCCACTGGAGTTTACATTCGGTGAATGAGAAGAAGAAGAATAAGTCATTCAGTCTAGAGATGGAAATATAATTTTCTTGATTCCCTCTAAATATATGATCATCACTATGACCGGAATACTGGGTTCCCCCCTGTATCACTTCTACCACACTTTTAAGGTCTGATTTGAAGCCCCTCCTTGTGTAGATATTTATCAGACTACAATGTTAATGTAAACTTGTATGAAAATAATAAATATCATTAGGATGACAGATGTACCAAAGAGATCAAGGCAAGACTTGAAATGGCAACAGCTGCGATATGAAAGAGCAAAATCAAGTTAAGATCAATATTTCGAAATCACTTGTATTGTCTATTTTCTTATACGGATGTGAGAGCTGGACTCTCACTGTGGAAATGGAACGGAGGATTCAGGCTCTCGAATGTAAATGCTACCGACACATTTTATGAATTAGTTATTTAGAACATAAAACTAACAAATATGTCAGAGACAAAATATACAAATTTGCAGAATATCAGGAGCCTCTCTTGGCAGTAGTGAAATGTCGCAAGCTAGCTTGATTCGGCCCATGATGAGACATGATTCAATTGCAGAGACGTACTTCAGGGAACACAGAGGTAGTCAAAGAAGAGGAGAGCAAAGAAGAATCTGGAACGACATCAAGAAATGGACAGGACTAAGTTATCATACACTTGTTTATCAAGCAGAAGACAGAGAAAGATGGCGGGTTTTGTGTGTTAGTGCTTCCATCCATATACCTCCACGACCCTATCGGGTCAAGGGTTATGTTATGTTAACAAATTATTATCTTTAAGTAATGAAATACTTTATTTAAAATTCCTCAAACATCTTTATGTTTCTAAACTAACCTCATGGCATAAGCTGGTAGATACAAACAAAATGGTGAGTCAGCAAGTGCCCACAGCAAACAGGTAGAGATGAACACTAAAAATGGTTTGTTCCTCAACAGTCGTAGAGAGTCCAGGAAACTTATGAAATAATCCCTGACAGTCTAAACAGGAAGGGAAAAAAAGTTATACAAAGCAAAGCAAAACCATGAATCAATAATTAATCAGGTGCCATCTCTATAGTGAAGGCTGGTTACAATGGATCTCCAACACCCTCTGTCTCAAGTCTTGGTTGTACACTCTCTGAGACTGCTGTTTTCCCATCTCTTAATGTTGTCTTTCCACTTTTATATCGTCATCTACCTTTTGCCTTCTGACTTTTCCCTCTGGTATGGCCTTTAAAAGAGTGTTATGTCTTTGAATGTGGCCAAAAATAACAGAAATAACATTTACAAGAGCTGTAATTAAAAAAAAAAAAAAATCACTAACATTTGAATATTTGCAAACTATGTTTCACCGCTTCAGCAAGTCTATGGCTCAGTATATCAAATTTCGACAATCTTTTTGTTTTTTTAAGATATGCTTTTCCTAGCCTTTGACAGTCCACTAACAAGGCAGCAGCTTTGTGTCCCTCTGGTTTCAATCCCTGACATATCTGATATAATAGGCCCTAAAGGCTGAGCTATCATCAGTTCATACTCTGTTGAAATAGACTTTGGCTGAAACATCAACTGAATTTGTTCACGTCATTTAAATTCCCTCCGCTGAGTTTTCTAGCCACAGTTTTTGTTGTGTTCTGTATTACCATCAGCATAGTTCTTCAGGTTAATGGAACAAACAAGGCCCTCTAATATTTCACAGTGGAGATGCATAAGAGCGTAAGTTTGAATACAAAAGTTTAACGACTTATCTATTCATGAATTCCTAATAAGTGAGTCAATCTGTAATGGATCTGCAAGATAAACTACTTTGGTTTAGAAGTCACCTTTTAGTCATCATTTAGAAGCCAATTAGAACTTCCTTGTAGGTTTGTGATGTGCATCGGTTATCTACAAAGATGAACTATCACACATATTGCTTCTGGTTTCCATCAGTGTGCTGCTGAATAATCAGAAATTTCCAGTACGTGTAAAATAAATTTTTGGGAGTCACCATGATGCAATGAAACCCCTACGGTCAAAGGAATAAAGGCAGATCAAAATTAAACCAGAGAGTGAAGTGAAAAAAATGAGGAGGTCATGAGAGTGAGTTGCATGTGTCAAAGAAGACAGGACAAACTGGTATACGTTGGTTGAGGGTATGTGGTAAATGGAGGATAACGGAGAGAAGAAATACCAATACAAACTACAATCACACTGCTACTGGTACCATCAGAGGTTTAACTCTTTGCTGGCTGTGGAAGATGGGGATGGAGCACTTATGGGAATGTCCTGAGTGCTGTAATGTCAGTTCTTGAAACTCAACACAACTCAGAGGGCAAAAGAAAGAAGTTGTGCAATAGTCAGCAAGTTTACTTGCTGGCAATGAGTTTAAATCCAACTCAAGTTGGGATATTTTTTGTTAAAAAATCACCAAGGCTCTCAAATCAACAACTCTAAAATTGCTACCAGGAAATATTAAAAATTGCTACCAGGAAATATTCAGGGTGTGATGATACTGACCATGTCCACCACTGAGTGCTGGTTGGTCTATAAAATATGAGGTAAATACCATAGGGTCAATCATTCTTACCCACATAGACTGGAGGTTACAGCTGGCTGGTGTAACCGCTATGGTTGCCCTAATAATAACTTCTTTGGAGGCTAAACAGGGTAACTGAGATCTATCTTGTTGGTTTAACGCCCAGACTGAGATTTGTTAAATCTCAGGATGGTATGGTAAACTTTTAGGTAGGAGCCCTAATGGAACAGATCGATGGATTGATCATATGCCTAGTTACCCAAGACACAGACAAGGCCTTTAAATTAGGGCTGTACCGAATATTCACTTCGTATTCGCTTCGGGGCCGAATAGTGGACCGAATGACTATTCTGTATTTGGCCGAATAGTTGCGGTCGGGCCGAATACGAATAGTGGTTACCTTACACTCATTTCCGCATACACTGCGATGGACTGAAATAACTCTCTCATTAACACAATAGTTGCTGTTGCTTAAGTTTGTAGTAGCGGGGAAAACTGTGACCCGGTTGCGTGGTACAGCAGCTGGCAAGGTCTTGCCCGCCGACTCGACAGAGGCATTACAGCAAAGGTTTTTAAACTGGGTGCGTATGCCAGGGGTGCCGGGGCCACTGTCGAAAAGAGCACAGGCGACAGGCAATACCTGCATTTTATAAAATGAAGAACATCTTATGCAATATATCTTTGCCATTGAAGGTTAGAAAAATAATTCTTGCTGGCTACTTTTTTCTTCTATTTTTCCAGTTTTAACATATGGTTGTAAGTCCTGGACAATCGGTAGGCAGGCCAAACAATCTCTCTAGGCTTCAGAGATGTAGTTTTACAGAACAATGCTTAAAATACTTTGAATTGCAAAAAAAAAAAAAAAAAGCAACCAATAGGTTTTGAAAGAGATGGGAGCCCGAAGACAACTAATCACAGACATCAGGAGACAGTCATCATTTTTCGGCCATGTTATGAGAAGAGGGAAAATGGAACAAGTGGTGACCACTAGAAAGATCTGTGGAAGGAGGGATAGAGGAAGACAAGGAGAGAACATTCTTGACAGTCTTGTTGCATGGCATGGAGGTGTGTCAGCACACGAAATTAAATATGCTGCAGCAAATCGCAGATTGTAGCGAGGCATAATCGCCCACGTCAGTCGGCAAGGCACCTGATGATGATGATTCACTATTCGTATTCGGCAGAATAGTTGGTCCCACTATTCGTATTCGGCCAAATAGTGAAAATCACTATTCGGTACAGCCCTACTTTAAATATCATATTTTTTAAAGACTAAGGTGAAATTTTGCTGCACAATTAAATGACAACAAACATGTTTCACACCTCTCTCATGTCACATTTATCATCTTATGCAAAGTTGTTAACATATCTGACACTATGCCAGAGTCACCCGGTGCTAAATTCATGTTTTCAGTAAACCATGTCTGAACACTGAGATCTCTCTTGATAAACTGAGTGAAAAGTAATACTTCACTGTCACAGATCTGGAGTAGAAATAGACATTTGTGCCTCTGGGATAGCGCAAAGTAATAAATATCAGCACTGAAAATGCATTCAAGTGAGAATTGTCAAAGTAGTGCCAACGGTTTTATACCTCATGCAAAATTTAAAAAAATTATACAAATGGAAGCTCCTACCTTGTTTTCCATTCCATCAGTTGCTTCAAGACGTGCTAAATCATCTTTAACAATAGCCAGGGCAGTCGGAAAGCTTGCAATGCTGCCCATCATTGATGATATACTACGGGAGCCAAGCCGATATCTTGGATTCAAAGCATCTTGTGGCTGCAGATGAGACACTAGAGTCGATGCTAGAGACTCATTATCAAGATCATTACGCTGCAACTGCTCCCGAATAGATGGCCGGTAACTCAGACGTCCCATAGAAGTGTACTGAGATGGTGTCTGAGATGACCCTGAAAGAAGGCGCTTGCGGAAAGACCGGTTAAGATCAGAAGGGGCTCGACTGATGGTGGGAGATGATGGTGCATTCTGTGAAGCTGGATCAGACACATTTTTGTCAGGCATGCTCAGTGGCTGAAGCGTGTCCTGGTTCAGGCTGCTGATTTTTTCATTGGCAGCTGTCTCATCTGTCTGATCCTGGGCAGAGAGTGGGTTGGAAGCCAGTGGACTGTGTGCTATCGGCGTATTTCCTGGACTAGGCGTGTAAGGTATGTTAATAGTATCAGTCTGAGGTGCAAAAATGAATTTGCTCTGAATAACTGTTGGACTAGAAGGTATATTCAAATTGCTCTTGCGATGTGATTTCACAGATCGATTTGTGGCTACAGAATATGTTGACCTGGAAATGTCTTTGTGGAGGACAGTCTTCAGAAGTGGAGCAACACCAATGTCCTGCCTGCTTGCCCTGCTAGGGTACCTCTGCACCCTCCTGACAGAACTGGTTCTGCCGCTGAAGACACTGTGCTGATCACCGCCATATAAACTATTTAGTCCACTCATCATGCTATTCAGATCACTCTGGAACTCTTGCTCTTTAGTCAGCGTGGTGACATTTGCCATCTGCTTCTCTTCTGCTCTGATCCGCTCCTCAGGAGAAGGCCGCAGCAACATGGCAAAGATAACAGAATGTAATGTGACACCACTCCACAGTAAGTATGTCCCGCTCAAACCAAAGCTATTGAAAAGGGCCATCAGTAAAGATCCCCCTGAAAATATAAAGAAATTAATATTAGAATGAGACCATAAGAAAAATGGAAAGCACAGAACCAAAGTACTTTGTTCTATGAAAGCACACATCTGTGGCTTCAGTTAATTTTCTTTCTTGGTTGCCAATTATCTATGATTCATAGCCACTGGTTAAGATTTATAATAAGTAACACTTAGAAATTACTTTTCTAACTTTCAAAATTTTGAGTATCTTATTTTTTCCCCCTTATAAAACCTAGTAATTGCCTAGTCCAATTCTATTCTGTATCTTTTATGGTACACTTTTTATCTAATGTTATCAATATGAGAGTGATGTGCTTCTTTGATATTATCAATAATTATGTTCTTATTAATGTTCAAGCCATGGCCTTTCCTTTTACTTTCAACTAACAATGAATTAATCATGTTTCACAATTTTTTTGGGAAGGGGGGGGGGGGTGTTATCTGGGCAATTAAGTCAACAAATTTCAGCATGTGAAATATGACAGTGCCCAGTTATTATATATTTAACTCTTTCAGACACATGACACACATAAGAAAAGGTTGTGGACAGAAATGATGATGAACGCCATAAGCATAGACTGAGAACCCCTGATCTACATTCCGTTCAAAATTCCCATGTGCACATCTTAAAAGAGTCTCTACAAAATTCAGCAGTGGTATTTAAAAAAAAAAATATTAAGGCAATAAGACTCACCTGCAAGCATCCCTGCCCCTGAACCTGTGGCCAACACTCCACAAGCTAACCCACGGTAACGGTTGAAGTACTGACCAACAATCACAAACATTGTGTTCAAGATAAACCCTGATCCAAGTCCTTTAGTAAAAAGGGGGGAAAAAAAACCAATGTAAAACATTTGTCACAACAAATACTACAGAGACTAAATACATTACACTCAGGAAAGTACTCTAATCACTCAGATGAGTTTACAAGCTACAAGAAATAAATATTTCTGTCTCTTCCTTTGCCCACTGCTTATGCTGAAGAGAGAAAGTAGATCACATTGCCTGGAAACTGTAAGAAGCTTTAACTAATGTCAAATGTAACTTAAATAATATCTTATGTCTTTCCGACTTCATCCAGCCACATTTTACCGGATCACCCCCTGCCTTATACAGGTGTTTTCCATGTAGTAGGCTTATGCTGCAGGTTAGCTGGGATTCATTCTAGCCAAATGCCTAAACCATTTGTTCTATGATTTCTGATAATATCTTTGCTGGTGTTGTCCCACGTTATCTAAGTACTTCCTTTTTCATCATACTTTTCACTGTCCTAAGAAATAAGTATTTACCTGCAATAAGTCCATGGGTAAAGATCAGCCCCACAATGGATGAAACAAACGCAGCTGCAAAAAGACCAAGCGACAGAACAAGTCCAGCAATAAATGCTGTCAGCCTTGCTCCAAGACGATTCAAAATAATACCTACAAATGGTCCTACAAGGAAACAAAAAATAATGTTGATGATAGTGTTATATAAATAATGTATCATCTTTTTAAACAATTATACCTCTAGTCCAATATGATGGATAGGCGGATGACCAGTTGAAAGTCTTGCTTCTGGCCACGGTTTGCTGATACATCTTTCACATATCTACATATATGGAGTCAATGGTTTCACTGTCCAGCTACCAAGCTAAAGGTTTAGTGTGACAGACAATGTGAGCTGCAGATTTAATGTGGAATACTTTTTGTCTGTGCCCGTAGTGATCTGAATTATTTACTTTTTCAGTGGTTTTGTGCTAGAACAAGTGGTGTGCCTTCTGAAATATTGCATGTGTCACTGCTGGTTTGTCATTACTCACTGCTTCCATTAATTAAGTACAGTTCAAGCAGCAGACTGTTAGTAATGCCAACTCTCATGGTTGCCTTATGCATTTACTGCATAAGTTCATGAATATGAATAAACTGTATATGTGGCAACAAATATCACAACTAGGAACAATCAACAGAAACAGGACGTTACACATTATCTTTGCTGGTGAGTAAAATAGCTGGCCTTTTAAGACAGTCATTGCCTCTAATTTTCCTACCCAATAACATACTACTGATAATTAAAAAAAAAGAGAGAGAGAGAGAGAGAGACAGACATGCCATAGGCTAAAGAAGCAGTACTGGTGAAGAAAATTAGAGGACATAGTGGAGAAGGCTAGGAGGATTAGGAGAAAAATGTGGGTGAAAAAAAAGCAGCAAAATTCTAATGCAATATATCCCAAATTTAATAGATATAGGCTATTTCACAGGACTTAATTTTTTGCATGTGGATGTGCTCCAAGAGTTATAATGTAGATTATCATTAATTAATAAACATTAATCAATAATTTCTCATGCTATAAGTACAAAAAAATACACACCTGACATACATGTAACACTTAAATGTGCTGCTCCAATCCATGATGCTTTTGTAAGGTCATTCTCAATCTGCTCCAAGATAGCAGACATCAGGACACCTGGTGGCAGGCAGTTAACATTTAGCAATACTCAAGCACAACTAAACTCCTGTAAACAGCAGCAACATAATTCACAACACCTGTGTCCTAAAACAGTCCTTACTGCCCTTATTTTACCACTTTTAGGTTGTGCAAGGCAGGGAATTTTGAGCCTGAGGATTTAGTGCTGCACGTAACAAACAAAAGCAACTAATCTTTATTCATCACCCCACATGTATTAAAATCTATACTAAAGGTAATACCAATGTAGTTATGAGTATATGTAAATATTTCCACTCTAAAGTGATAATACATGTTCAAAAATCTGGATTTAATGTCTGTCAACAAGAATTAGTAAATAAAATTATGTGCTGTCTCTATAATGAATGGTTGGCTGTCCTCCCACTGCCATTTTTGGGAATGAGTTATCAGTTGGATTCTCTTCACAGCACTCCAGACACATCCATAGATGCTCAGATTCCCCCTGTTCCAAATATTCATCAGCATGGCGCAGTTAATAGTGCCAGTCCTTTGCAGGATGACAAGACTTTGTGCACATTCGGTGTGCTTCTTAACTGTGTCGATCTCTACACCTATTTATTGTATTCTTAGCAGTGATATGGACAGGTTGCTTTCAAAATCCTCAGAACGTCCCATCTCTTTAAGGGCACTGACAATGCGTGATCCATGGGCCGGCTATCTGCAACTAATGCAGAATTTGGGAATTTATGTTGTGAGGCCACAATCTCTTCTATGGTGCATCTCTCACACCCTTGTCTGAATGCGTTGAGAATAAGCACAGTAAACATTTAGCCGAGCAGCAGAACTCTATGCACACAGTAACAAATTAACATAATTCACCACAGCTGTGACCTAATCAGCTGTCTTTACTCTACAACTTTTCAGGGTGGTCTGAGGGCCTGATGATTTAGGGCCTCCTGTAAACTAACATAAGCAACTAATCAAAATTAATCCTTTCACCCAGAAACCACAAACCCAGCCCCTCACATATGTTTCACTTCCCTAAAGTGGAGGAAACTCCAAAACTATTGTGTAAGATTTTTCAAGAAATCTGGAACAAGGAAGAAATCCCACAGGAGTGGAAAAAGGGTACTATTATTAAATTACCAAAGAAAGGAGATGTAGTAAACTGTAACAACTGGAGAGGTTTCACATTACTATTATTAACTAGTAAAATCTTTAGCCGGATAATTCTTAAAAGAATGACTCAAGCACTTGATAGTATAATAAGGCAAGAGCAAGCGGGATTCAGAAAGGGAAAACATGTATTAATCACATCTTCGGGCTGCGTAAAATAAATGAAGTAACCAATTGAACAGTGCAGTTTATATGACCTTTGTGGATTTTAAAAAGCCTTTGATAGCCTGCATAGGGAATCATAATGGACGATTTTGAGTCACTGTGGTTACCACAGACAATAGTAAATTTGATCAAAGCTATTTACTTAGAGCTTTAATGCAAGGTAGTATGGGATAATCATACAACAGAATGTTTCTTTGTCAACACAGGAATCAGACAGGGATGTATAATATCCCCCTTTTTGTTCAATTTGGCCATTGACTGGCTGATGAAGGAAGTTACACGAGATAGAAAAAGTGGCATCAGGTGGTCACTCACCTCTGTTTTAGAGGATTTGGACTAGGCAGATGACATCTGCCTTTTATCAAGCCATCATGTGCACGCTCAGGAAAATATTTTAACAACAGCCCTTAAGATAGGACTCAAAATAAACACCAGTAAAACTAAAGTAATGAGAAAAAATTACAAAACAGAAAATCCAATTATTTTAAATGATGAAGCAATAAAGGAAGTTGAAGAATTTATAAACCTCAGAAGTAAAGTAAAAACTCCAGATGGAGATTCTGAAAAGAATGTAACATCAAGAATAAACAAAGCAAATCAAGCACTTGCCATGCTTAACAATATATGGAAGTCAAAGGGATTTAGTTTAAAGACAAAACTCAGAATGTACAAGAGCAACATTTTAGGAATACTATTATACAACAGTGAATGTTGGAAAATGACAGCGAGAGTTGAGTTGAGTCAAGAATTGACATTACAGCACTCTAGGCATTCCCATGTATGCTCTGTCCTCATCTTCAGCAGCCATCGCAGAGTTTCAATACTGTGACCTTTCCACTGAAGCTTGCCACTCTGCTCGAAGCATCCCTGTCTTCCCCTTTTTCAGCATGCTTTCAGATTCTGTTTCAATTACGACATGTGAATGCATCTTGTTCTCTAGCCACCGGAGAGCTGCAGTTACCGCCTCCACCTCCATTCTCATGCTAGATGTTGTGATATCATATGCTAGGCTGTCTTGCACTAAAGATTTTCCATTAGCTTTCACTACGAACCCCCATGCATTTCTCTTTCCTCTCAACACTGAACCATCTGTATAGATAATCAGATCACCTGGGCGTGAATTGTCGTGAATCAACTGTTGGACCTCCCTAGCACCCGCTGGCCACTCTCTGCACACCCGGCCCAATGTTATCATAACCCTACACAGGTCAGACTTTCCCACTGGTACTCTGACCTTCTCCTCTCTTTGCCCAATGTTCTTCAGCATGCATACTTGTCTTATTGTGTCTTCTGCTTGAGCCATCCACGATTTTCTCCTTTTCAGCCTCTGACCCTTGCCTGCAGCTAAAGCTTCATACAGAGGGTGTTCCCTGTCTGCAGCTACTCTGAGGTATGACTTAGCCTGCAGCACCTTTAGTCTATCTGCAAAAGTCTGCAATGCAAGGATGTATTGCATGCACACAATTGGGGTGTCTCTTGTACAACCAAGGATCAGCCGCACAGCTTCCTTCTGTATGCGCTCCAGTTTCTCTAGCTGACTCTTCAAGAGAGTAAGTAACCCCAATCCATAATCAATCACCGAGATGATTAAGTGCTGGTAAAGTGTGAACAGCATTCTCTGCTCCATGTCCATCGCTGCCATAATCTTTAGTGCGTTTAGACCTTTTTGAGCCCTTGTGACAAGCCCCTCTATGCGATCCCTGAAAGACAAACTTCCGTCAAAGGTGATTCCCAGGTACCGCAGTCTGCTGTCTCTTTTGATGTCCCTGCCATTTATTTTAAATATGGGAACATCAGCTCTAACAATCCTGTTGTCCAAAGAACACAACAGGATGGTTACCATTTCTGGGTTGATTACAGTGCTCATCACTGTACATGAGTCAATCACCTTATCTACTGTTGCCTGTAACTCTTCAGCTATTTGATTCCGATCTCTCCCCCTCCTATATACAAGAACATCATCTGCAAATGTCAATAGTCTGCCAACTCCAGGTGTTTCCAGACAGGCAATTCTTGCTCGTAAAAACATTGAATAGTACAGGGGAAATTGCAGATCCCTGTGGTAGTCCTGGAGCTATGAACCCAGGCGGAGAGCTACCCATCGAGTATACAAAACAGCTGCTATCCAATTCACCAACCAAGGACAGACTCCCTTTTTTCACATGACTGAACCCCAGCTGTTCTGTTTTTCACCTAAATCTCCTGCCCTTCTATTTCTCTGCTTTCTTTTCTCACCATTTCCTAGTTTTCTCCTCTTCAACCTCTCTTTGCTGCTAGCTGAAGATGACGTCAAGCGCAGAGCACATGCTCTGTAGCTTCGGCGACAATTATTACAGCGAGAATTACACATAAAATTGAGATCTTTTCAAAATAAATGTTTAAGGAGAATTCTACGAATATTTTGGCCAAACAAGATCACAAATGAAGGAACTGAGGAGGAAAACAGAATGTGCATCACTGGCAAATGTTATCAAAGTAAGACGACAGAGATAGCTTGGACATGTTTGCAGAATGCCTTGCGACACTCTGGCAAAAACAACTCTCCGGTGGACAGCAGATAGGAAAAAGAGACGTGGACGACCTAAGGAAACCTGGAGAAGGACAATAGAACGGGAAATGAAGGAATGTAAACTGACAGGGGATACCATAGGCAAAAAAGCAGAAGACTGGCAGCAATGGAGACAGCGACATGAAAAGGATATAGACAGATATAAACCTCAGCGACAGATGTCAGGGCATGTGACACTTGACATATATTTTTTAAGACCCTGGGAAATGTTTTAGATTTAATTCTTTACAATATTCACATCTCGTTATGCCTAGTGGCACATGAGGCTTCAGAGAGGACTTTCCATGCTTTCCTGTCCTGTGCAATCTTCAATGCAGTTTTCCATGTCAAAGATGCCACACTCAGGTCACTTTCCATCGTTCGTCTCCATGTTGTTTTTGGGCGCCCCTTTTTTCTCTTTCCCTCTGGTATCCATGTGAGAGTTGTTTTGGCAGGTATATCAGGATTCATTCTCATAACGTGGCCAAGCCATTTCCATCTTCTCTTGGTTATCATACTGTCTAGAGTTTCTTGGTTTGTGACTTAAAGTAGTTTAGTGTTTGAGATTGTATCTGGCCAGAAAATTTTGATAATTCCACGTAGACATGTGTGGTGGAAGGTGGACAGCTAGCTTGTGTACATCTTTTTTGGTCATTCTCCAGCATTCCGCTCCATAAAGAAGAACTGGCAAAATGATACTCTTGTAGAGTCGGAGTTTTGTTCCTCTGCAGTAAGTGTTGGATTTCCAGATTTGCCTCATCCTTCCAAAAGCAGCTCTAGCTTTGTTCAGGCGTGACTGTATGTCTTCCTCTGTCCCTCCCAGTAGGGACACCACACTGCCAAGATATGTGAAATGTTCTACATTGGTTACTTATGGTCACTGGTTGTTGGTTTGGACTGTTTGTCATGATCTTAGTTTTTTTGGTATTTATTCTCAGTCCACCATTTCTGCTGTGCTGTGTAGTCTGTTACTTTTCTCTTGTATATATGTTCATGTTTATGTGATAGCAGTGCTATATCATCTGCAAAATCAAGATCCTCAAGCATGGTGAATAAAGTCCACCGTATGCCTTTCAATGTCTGTCTACTGTGTTTTTTTTTATCCAATCAATCACAAGATTGAAGAAGAGAGATGACATGACACATCCCTGTCTTTACTGGGAAAGATGTATTGTAATTTTTTATACTACAGGAAAAGTCTTTATAGAAGAGAGCAATTATGTTGACTATCTTTTCTGGAATTCCATGATGTCATAAAACTTTCCAGAGACTGTCTCTATGGACGCTGTCAAAAGCTTTCTCAAGTCCACAAAATTAATATGTATACTTCTCTGCCATTCATTGCATTGTTCTAAAATGTTACGTAGGGTAAAGATGTGCTCAGTTGTTCTTCTGCCCTTTCTGAATCCTGCCTGTTCCACTCGTAGGCATTTATCTACTCCTTTTTCAAGCCGCATTACATTTACTGATTACTCCCTTTATATACTTTAGGAAAAAAAATGTAAACAAACAAATGTTTTCTTCTTCTTCTTCGCGTTCACCAGCTGTAAACTCTGACCGAAAGTTCTGGTTGTTCATCAACTTCTGGACTGCAGTCCTGTTCAAGAACCTGAGTGTTGTGTGTGCATCTGTTTGACAAATCTGACTCATTTGTATGCAGACTGCTGGTTTCTTGCCTCTCAGGCAGATGCACTCCGACTTCGAAGGAAACAAATGTTTTAACAATTTGTTGGGGTCCTGTGTAAAATCGTATGGGTTCACGGCCCATTTTTGTTCACCTTTCCAGGAATGAAAGGGTTTAATACACATGTGCTAACGCTTTCAGTACCAAACAACTCATTATAATTTCATCTGTGTCTCTACACATAGTGTACATTTCCTGTCTCCTATTCTTTTCAGCATTATATTTCAGCTTTTGTTTATACTGTACTTGAGGTACTGGAAAGAGCAGGTATGATGAAGAGTTTTCTCAGTGCTCAGTCTTCAAAGGCTCAGATGTCTAGGACACTTTGAGAGAATGCATGGAGGATGGTAGAGTCGCTAAGAAAATTCTCTATGGTGAATTACAGATTGGTAGAACATGTATAGGTTGGCCTCAACTATGATATAAAGATGTGATGAGAAAATGAATGCAGACAGGGTAAGAAATGAGAAGAAGAGCGTTAAATACATATGATGGCACAAAGAGTCCTGAAATCCCATAATCTAAATGTGGAAAAACCTGGCTTTATGCTAGCTGGTTTTCTGGTTAAGCTCACCATCACCATGGGTTATAATTTCTATGCCCCTCTATAGCATAATATAACACCATTATCTGGAAAGACGGAAAGGTGCCAACAGCTCTAAGTTGATGTTATATAATTTAAACTTTTTTAGACTCTAAAACTGTCACTCTAAAGCACGCACACTTTCATACAGTAGAGTGCTGAGTGTTGCTGTTGAGTGCTGAACTAGGAACTGACATCACAGTACTCGGGAAATTCTCATAATATAAAGTTAGTTACAATCATTACATGTATGTACAGCTGGTTCTCAGGCCAGCCAAAAGCTACTGTAACTGCCTCCACCTCCATTCTAAATGTTGAAGTATCATACGCTATACTTTTCTGTGTTGTCCACTTGCTTGTGCAATAAACAACCATGCACTTTTTCTGCCTTTCAAAACAGAACCATATGTTAAAAAGTTAAGAATAATATAACTGTTGTGTGTAAATTATTCCTTGTATGCATGTAAACATGTGTTCCTAAGTAGTTACTGACATGAAGTTTATTCTCAATGGTTTACATACTTTAATATTTAATTAAGAATTGACATCACAGCACTTGGGACATTCCCATAAGCGCTCCTTCCCCAGCTTCAGTAGTAAGCGCAGAGTTCCAATACCAATGGTTGACTTTCATAGTTCTTATCATGCAGCATACTGTAATGAATTTTTAATGAGATTAAAAAGTAAAGGCACACAGTAACTGAAATTTAAAAAAAAAGTTCAAAGTGAAATACCTGCAGCAAACATAGTAGCACCAGTAAGAGACAGGGAGAAAAATGCTGCAAAAAGCACCACCCAGGCCCAACCACCATCCATGTCTGCTGGTGACTGCGTACCACCAATATTTTCCAGATCCAGACATGAAACGCCACCAAAGGCATCATCCTCAACTGCTTGGCTGGAATTCAAATGAAAGGTTTATAACATAACACCATATGTTTCTGAAGAACATAAGGATATACATTCAAAAATTAACAGATAAAACTAGGAATAAATATTACAATATGTGTTTTTTCCTTTATTTTTTCAGAACATAGAACAAAGAAGATAAGTTTTACCAACATGGCTAATAGGTAAATTACAAAAAATTTAAAAAAAAAACACACGAAGGAATGGAATGTGTAGATAAATAACAGGACTGATTACACAACAGTTAATCAGCATAACAAAGAACTAAAGCAGCAAAAAGCAAGCACACATACAGAAATGAATACAGCAACAATGAAAGAAATAGCAATATTTATAAGAAGTTAAAAGTGAGGAAGATTGACTTTAACTACACTAGGTTTTATCCCATAAAGCTAGGTCTTTGCAGAATATCTAGCTGCCTGCCGAAAGCATCACACAAGACAAGAACATTAGGCACCAGCACTGATCCTCAGGGATCACTGTAAAAACTGAACTTGTAAACTCAATCCATAACCTCAAAGAGACAAATGGCTTGACCACTTTGCCACAAAGGACATCCCCCTCCCCCCGAATTTAAACAACAATTATTCAGCTCAACAAAACTTTAAATAGTAAGTGAAAAGGATGAGATGACAGTGAATTTACTCATAATACATCTTAAAAAGTCAACAACAAGAAAGGTCAGAAAAACAGACAGACTAGAAAAAAGTAAATCATGACCTTACCTTACAGAATAATTCAACATTTTAAGGAAAGTTGGATTCTCAAGTGGACCAATTGTGTCCTGGTTGGCTCGATGTGTATTTTGTTCAGAAAAATTATCTCCAAAAGCATTGGGTATTTTCTCAAGTAATGGTCTATTTTCCAAATCCAATTTGGCTGCTTCTAGATCATTCTCCTTGTTTTCAATCTCAATCTGCCTCCTCAGTTCAGACTCATCCACGTTTGAGACATCAAAATGCCTGTGCCCAGTGTGTTCTCCTTCTTGTGGTGCTGTTTCTGAGGCAGATGACTTGTCTTTAGTTTCTGCCTGTGATGAGAGGGTCAGCTCTGCAGGCCGTGATGCCACAGATCCTTTATGAACAGAGGTACTGTCAGCTAAGCAGCTTTCACCAACAACAGTTAAAACTGCAGCGGAATCATTAGGGACATCACTGGAAGAGTCAATGACAGAATGTGGCAAATCAACATCATGCACTGGTGTATCAAGGCTCACAGTTATAGGTGTGGCAGCTTTACTATTTAAATCATACACCTCAATGTTTTCAGCAAATGTCACACTTTTGCTAACATCCTCATCCTTTTTGGAATCATCAACATCTAATTTTGCAATGGATGATGGTGTGCTGACATATGTTCCTTCTTGGCTGGCAGGTTCTATATCTTTTGAGCTGCGGTCATCATGCTTATCTGGAGCAGATCCCGCCTGACCCTCATTACGGACCAACAATTCACCATGCTCTCCATTGTCCTCCTCTAGAATACTAGACATGCCATTAACCAATCTCTCAGACTCACTCGAGTGAGCCATGGTTTAAATCATTACTGGTTACACAAATGCTGACATTTAGTTTCACTTTCAAATTGTCTCAGTAATAGTCTGCGAGCAGAACAGCTTCTCAACACTCAGAAGTCAGTCTCAGCTTGTTGATTAGACATCATCCTTGGTACAGACAAGACAACAGGACACAGCTGGGGTAACTGTAATTCACATGCTTCTATTTTCAAATTAGATGAAAACTTGTTTTAACCTCCGTCACAGGTCAAGCGACAAACTTCTAGAGAAAGCAGCTGTGGAATAAAGCAAAAACAATTAGCTGAAGATTTGTAACATTTTTATTTCAATAAAAGGAAAAAAGTTACATCACTAAGAGAAAATCCCATAATGGTTTAAGCAATACATGTTTTTAATTATTCTCCTGCAAGATTGCAGCCTGAAAGATTGACCCTCAGTGACTGAAAGAACCGCTACTCAGATATGAATCCAACAGGAAGAAATCCCAGAAACCTGTTCAACTACACACACATGCAAACAGTTATACTGCAGCAACCTATGGTTATGAAGTAACAACATGCTATCCAAAGTGGGTTCGCTAGAACATTTTCCCCATGTGGGTTCCAAGGCCCCAAATAAGGGAGAAAATAACAGACTTACTACCCCCATTATAAGCATGTCATAAAGTCAACTATTTAGGAATTTAGGGGTTTTCCTTCTAAATCAGCCCAAGAAGCAAAGAACAAACAGTCAGTATACAAATAAGCCAGACCCGTAAAAATCATGTGCACACGAAAAGTTATGGAAATAAGATTTAAAGTCCAGAAGTGGACAAACAAAAATAACTTTCCTCTGGAGTTTACAGCCAGTAAACACCACTAGGAAGAGAAACCATATTTTGTTTGGTGTTCTTGAGTGGGTTCAAGGAGTCCTACTTATACCACAAAAGTGGTAATATAGGCAGTAATGAGTTTTATCTTGTGTATCTTGTAAAAATGCAGTTCAATTACAATAGAAGCAGCAGTTACAACAATCGATAGCTGCACATACAATTAATCAGATAAGGCACCACCAGTCGTCTGGCAACAGGCCACATGTTATATTCTGAATCTGTAGTTCACAACACAAACCATATTGGTTAAGCACCCTAAATGAAATCCACAGCTCACAGTGTCACAGCATTCTCTCAATACCACAGCTAGGTGACATAACTATTTTCTTTCAGTCTATATATGGAACAAAATGCAATGGCTAACAATTGTCAGAAGCGAAAAACTTGCCACGATTAAAAACAGTAAGACCGCCTATCTGTCATACTGACTGGAAATCAGAAAAACATTCAATAACTGTTATTGCTCGGAATAACATTTATTTATATGATTGATACAAATGTAAAGTTAACAGAACTGTAACTTAAATTATTGACAATGGGCTCTCCTTTCACTACCGGACGGTAGCTGGACGGCTTAGGTCGGCTTAGTGGGAATTCTCTCCCTTGGCCGCATTGCAAACAAGGAGCGGAAAAGTCATGAATCAAAGAAGATAGTGAGGTCGACATCAGCGCTGCCAATGCTTGGTTGTGTCCCCCAGATCTGGAGGTTTTTTTTTACGCTGCAGGGAAATCTGGGGGTTTTTTGTGTGGTTTTTGCCGATTTGTATGCTTTAATGACCGATAAATTTGCGTGGTTAGGGGTAGGGTTAGGGGTAGGATTAGGGTCACGGTTAGGGGTAGGTTTAGTGTTAGATGTGACGCCGGAGTTCCCTATAATCGCGCACAGTCACATACACACCCAAACAGTCGACGGACTGTGGATGCTACTGACACAGACAATTCGTCACTGATTGGGCACCAGCCGCGCGCTATTGCCGTCATATTTGGCAGAATTCCAGTGGCGCCACTCCTACAAGCATCAGATTGTCGGCCAGTATTTGGAACTTCTACGTCAAAATTTTCACATCTAACCCTACCCCTAACTCTAACCCTACACGCAACCGTATGATGATAGACACCCTACGCAACCCTACACGCAACCGCATGATGATAGGTAACCCTAGACGCAACCGTATGATGACTACGCAACCCTTCACGAAACCGTATGATGACTATGCAACCCTTCACGAAACCGTATGATGACTACGCAACCCTACACGCAACCGTATGATGATAGGTAAGTATGTAATTTGATTCGTGACTTTTCCGCTCCTTGTTTGCAATGCGGCCAAGGGAGAGAACTCCCACCAAGCTGACCTAAGCCGTCCAGCTACCGTCCGGTAGTGAAAGAAGAGCCGTGACAATGTATATTGGTTAAAAAAGTAATTGAACTAATTGTAATGTATGTTAAAAATCTGGTACTGGTAGTTAATTTCGTTTTTATTATTCTTAACCAAATTGGCTACATGAACTTAAAATAGACTACATTATTAAATTTACAGAAGAGCTGGCGCTGGTGAGAAAATGAAACACAACCTTCTGAGCAATACATAACAAAGCAGTCTAACATAACTACTTACTACTCTAAAAATACTATTATAGTAGTATGTAAACAATATGGTTTATTTGCTGAATACTAATTAAATTCACAAATGGCTCTCCTTTGCCTTTTATAGGCAAAGACAGCACACATACCACACACAAAGAGAGAACAGATAATTATAATTAATTGAAATTGCGCTAGCTGACTTAATAGATAATATACTGCACATGATCCTGCACTTGTGAAAAAACTTTATAATATAAAGTAAAAGGCAAATTTTGTACCAGTATTGAGTATGATTTTTTTAAGCCTTCACCAAATTACCATTAACTGAGTGTTGCTCTTCTTGCGTTGTTTTAATTTATATTTGAATTTAAACTACTAAGAGTACAACATTCATGATTCATTCAGGTCTAAAAAGTACTCTAAGTCATAAGTTAGTCTGCCCTGACTCTTCTAGATCTAACTAGTTCACGATCTTTTTCTTTATCTAAAGAAGGCTCCATCGAATGAGGACTATGTCAAAGTGCTAAATGTCACACTTCCAAATTAATTACGCACAAATTTAGTTCATTCACAGCAGAAGCCACATGGAGATTACAAAAGAATCACCCACCATAACCAATAACCTATTCAACAATTTGACTTCGATGCAGACGGCGTAAGACAAGCATAAGTACACTTCCGTTTCTAGCGATGTTGCCATAAAATACTTTTATTATGAATTTTTGTTAAAGAAAAATGTAACTGACAATTCATAAAAATTTAGATTGGATTTTGTTTCTAAAGCAATTCTAACTTTAAGTGATTGAAAATCTAAGAGACTAAAAATCACATTTGATAGTGAATATACTGAAAAGTTTGCAGAGTCAAAAATAATTCTTGACTGGCAATTAATTTAGATGGCGAAAGTGTTTGATATTACCTGGCACTGGTTCAACCGGGGTCGTACTCGTTATGGACTGATGGAGCTGGACTGCTGCCAGCCAGTACCCGTCTATGATTAACCCCACCCATCACAGGAGCGGATGCTAGAAGGCTCAGGCACTTTGAAGTCTTCTGCCTCTCTCCCTAGATGGGGGGGGGGGGGGGAGACGCCTCACCTAATTCTCCCAAAAATTTACAAGAGTCCTAAGTATCCCTATCCCCATATAGACGTTCTTTTTCCGAGTATCTGGATATACATTTAATTAATTTTATATATTACATGCATTCTATTTATTAGCCATGCGGCACATAATATTAATAATAATTGTTATTATTATTGTCTATGGTGACGTAATGATAACCTATGAAGTGTCGACATTACATTATCTAGATTAATAATGACGCAGAGCTGTCTAGAAGAAATGTTTATACAATTCACTAAAATAAAAAAATAAAGTTAGGAAAACTCGTATCACAATTTATATCCTATTTGTAGCTCTTAGAGTTTGAACAGGATATGTTTGTAAAAAATACGACTACTGCTTAAACAAACAAAAAAACTCTAAATCTCTTGAGCCCCCCCCCCCCCCCCCCCCCCCGTATAAAATTATGGGGAGGGGCTGCCACCCCATGACTTTGTTGTGACTGCGCCGATGATTAAAGGAGATTCTGCAAGGGGGATTAGCGTCCGATTTGGGGATATATGAATATACGGTACCCCACCTCCTCCAAAAATTAAAAAAAAATATATATATTTTTTTAAATCCGACTAATTATGGGTTTGTTGAAATCGGATGTGTTGGACCCAAAGGCGCAGACACCTTAACCTTGCCAAACCATAAAACAGCTTGCCAACAGTCCTCTTGAACACGAACGCAGAAAAATGCGGTTTCATCGCAGATACTGTAATTGGGGTTTGGTGTATTAGGACTTCGCTTTTTTTAAGTTGTGACATATGAAATGGGTATGACCAGTGCCATTTCCTGTCACATTTTTTTCTTAGAAAACTCCCACGTAATTCTACATTTATATTGCACTTCCTAAAATTAAATTAAAATGTAATACATTAAAACATAAATATACTGACGTATTTTTCATTTAAAAAATAAAAAACGAATCAACATTGAGTGGGCACAATATTTCATGGGGAAAGCTGCCTTCAGTGAGGTAGCACATAAACGTTGCTTCGCTCTTCACGCTTCAGTTCACATGGACTATCGATCAATGCAATGACAATTGATGCGGAGACTACCATCTCTGCCCCCCCCCCCCTCTCTCTCTCTCTCTCTCTCTCTCTCTCTCTCTCTCTCTCTCTCTTCTTTCTGTCTCGCTTGTTTAAAAATGTATAGAAAGTTTAGAAAATGGAATGTATGTTTATGTGGAGAGCAAATGATCATTCACAAAATAATCCTTTATAATCAATATCGTAGCAAACAGAGGTAATCCCTTTCCGTCAACAAATTGTAAGCATTCGCTACTCCTACACGGCGTGGTGATCTCATCACAGGCTTGGGGAGAAAGCTAATGCGTATAAGAGAATGTAGTAACAGTATGTAAGTTTTTACTACACATGTTTGCAGTCTAATGGTTGTGCTTTAATTCACGCGGTATCCGTTGTTGATTGTCGCTAGGTAA